AGAATATCTTTTTGGTTTTGAGACTTTAGTCTTTGCAACTTCAGGGATCTTATCTATTCACAATCAGCTTGTAACACTCCAAAGAGAAAGGAAAACTTGAAATCGCATCATATGACCCCGTTAAAAAGGCCAGAGATGATGTTCCTAATTCTTAGATTGTTTCAGCGTTTGGCTTTTGTACTATCAACCCCACTTTTGTTTGATACGGAAAGACCATCATTAGTTCTTGCTCTCTCTTCGTACTTGTTTATTTTCACTTAAAACCGTCAGGCAACGTGCCGACCCACGAATGAAAACAGAATCTGAGAACTTTTATCAATTAGCCCTGATAAAGATGACAGAACATTGAGCACAATGTTCATTTTCAAAAGGAAACACACGTGTTTTGTCTTAAAACAATGTAATAGTGTCGAACTCGCTCTAAGTAGTGCTAAATAAGCCCATTGAGTCGTTTCCTGGCTGAGGGGATCCAAACCAAACATTGATCCAAGCTGAACTTATGGATGTTTGCGTTCATTGATGGGGCCGTTTAAAGACCCTCAGTGCAGGTTTAGACAAACAGTTGGCAATGTGTCTGAACAGCTCACAGCATTAACCGATCCGTTTCATCTGACACATTAACGGGCATTAATCATCACGCGCTGCATAATGGAGCATTTGTCTGTCTTGAAGTGTATGTTATGAAAGTCTCTGGTGGAAATTCAGAATAGAGTCAGGAAAAGTGACAGGAAATCATATAATATCTCATGGAGATTTGGGCCTACATATTCTGGCAAGATATGCACCGATAAGGCCCGTTCAACAGACTGACTCGAGGAAGTTTAAACATCACTATGCTCTTCAAGTTAAAGTACCGTTGCACAATGTAAACCAGGGCCGAAAAGCTCTCTCAGATTTTCATCAGAGCTGTTCAGAAAGCCCTATTTATTTCCAGCCTGTATGACGGGGAAGTGTAATGTAAAATGCAGACCAGCTATATCTTTCATTCTTTGGAAAGATTAAGAAGTGCAAACTCATAAAACCCTCAGGAGGCCGACAGACAGCGGCAGTACAACTTTAGTTCTGTTCAGTTTAGTTCAGTTTAGATCAATTTATTTCAACAGAGCTGCTGGCAAATGTAATTTCTACAGTAAAAATAGCAGATGTTTCGAGTTTTCATTTCCAGTCAGTTCAGCTATGTTAAGTTCAATTTGGTTCTGCTCAGTTAAATTTACTTCAGTTCAGCAAAGTTGAGATAGATTTTAGTGTCAAATGTCAATTCAGTTCATTAAACTACTGATGACCTTGTTCAGTTCAGTTAAATTCAGTTCTGTTTACTTCAGTTTGGCTTAGTCCAGTGATTTCAGTTCAGTTTAGTGTCAATTCGGTAAACTGATGGCTAAATGTCATTTCTAAATTTTCTCTTTTTATTTTTAGTTCAGTTCAGTTAAATTCAGTTTGGTATTTCCCTTATTGAATTCAGTCCAAGATAGTTGAGTTGTTGTGTTGGCAAATGTAATTTCTAAATGTAGCAGTTGTTTCTTGTTTTCATTTCCAGTCAGTTCAGCTATGTTAAGTTAAAAAAAAAATTCTGTTCAGTTGCATTCAATTCAGTTCACTTCATTTCAGCTTAGTTCAATTTGTGTCAATTCAGTTTATTATACTACTGATTGCATGTTTCAGTTCAGTTAAATTCAGTTCTGTTTACTTCAGTTTGGCTTAGTTCAGTGTAGATTGGTTCAGTTTTGTGTGAATTCAGTTCAGTAAACTATTGATGGCTAAATGTCATTTCTAAATTTTCCTCTGTTTTTATTTATATTTAGTTCAGGTCAGCTAAGTTCAGTTAAATTCAGTTTGGTTCAGTTTATTTTAATTCGGCTAAGTTCAATTCCATTTAGTTTGACAATTGAACATAGTTTAGTTCAGCTCAGCCAGTCTTATTTCCTTTAAATGTTTCAGTTTATTTAATTTAAGATCAGTTTAGTCGAGTTCAAAACCCGACTTTAATAAAATTGCTGGCAAATGTAATTAATTTCTAGCAGATGTTTCTTATTTTCCTTTCCAGTCTGTTCAGCAATGTTAATTAAAATTTTGTTCAGTTAAATTCAGTTCACTTCATTTAGATTCGGTTCAGTTTCATTTCAGTCTAATCAGTAAAGCTCAACAAAACTGTTGCAAAATTTCATTTGTAAAAGAATTTTCCTGTTTTTGTGTATAATAAATTAGCTATGTTCAGTTAAATCTTATTAAATTTGAAGTTCAGTTAAAAGTTCAGCTGCCTTAAAATAAATTCAGTTAATTAGTTTAGTCCCTTCTGTTCAGTTTAGTTCAATATTGGTTGAGTTCAGTTTGGTGTAAATTCTGTTTAACAAAACTGCAGATGGCTCAATGTCATTTTTTAATGTGGCGGAATTTTTCTGTTTTTATTTACATTCTGTTTAATTTCAGCTATGTTCATTTCAGTTTGATTCAGTTCATTGTAGTTCAGCTAAGGTCAGTTGTTAAGCTCAGTTCAACACATTTAAGTTTAGTTGTCTCACTCTCAAACTGAATTTAGCTTAGCTCTGTCTTCTGTTCAGTTCAATAATGTTGTGCTCAGTTGAGTTGAGTTCAGCTCAGTTCAGCTTATTTATTAGCTGCTGAACAGCATTTTTAAATGACATTTCTAAATGTAACAGATTGTGGATGTGTTTTAGTAACTATGACTCAGATACAGACGTTTAATGAAGTACTTCCTTGATGATTAGCTCTTTTTGTTGGTCGTGGGAGTTTTCCAGTGCAGCCATATATATATATAATACAGACTGTCAAACCAGCAGCGCCTGAGGTTGTTATTTAACTAGAGCTCAGTGAAACAGCAGTGAAAGTAGTTTTTCTTGCTCCCCTTGGTGCGTCCAACACAAGTTCACATTTTCTAGGAAGCACCTGCTCTTGAGGTGTTTTTAATGAAGTCAATCACGATCGCAACGACTTTTTTTATTTTTGAAAAGGGGTTGAAAGTAAATGTAGTTATATATATATATATATATATATATATATATTGTTTAATATTTGGTTTATATCATTAAATCTTTCGTGCATAGTGTCATTAGAAAAGGACAAATTCATGTGTTGCTAAAAATATGCAAAATCATTGAAAACAAATTTGATCTGTTCCTTCCTTAAGTGGTTAATTCATGCATTACGTTTCTTTACCAGATTGCACATTTGTGTTTATCAAACTGCTTATTTTAACAGTGGTACATACAGTCAATATAATCATCATATTTTCCCCATTAATGAAATGAAAAAAGAAAACAGTGAGTTATAACAAAAAGCCATTTTTATTCTCAAAGACAAATGATACAATCATCAGAAATGCTAAATCTCACAATTTTCTACTGGATTGTTAGTCCCATACGAACAGGTTAAAGTTTCACAAACTTTATGGATGAAACAGGACGAAAGATTGTCGAAACTGAAACATCTGTACAGTATGTGCAAGGAAGGAATGCTCCCGTTGTTTACAAACCAAGGACTGTGTTCAATCAAAATGATGCATATTTCCAAAGCAGGATTTCCAGGGTTTCAAATACGATACACTTTATTTAACAGTACAGAAACAACAATAATGGAGCGCAAAAGACGTCGCGGAAGCATTTGGTTTTCTTCATGTGTTAATTTGACCTTGCATACTTGCAATGTAAATGAAATTTGCAAATAAGGAGAAGCCCAAAACTCTCTGTATATGTCTGTGATAATGACAGAACGTACTGTATGTAAATGAAATCTCAATGGGTTTTTTTTTAATGTATAGAATGAATATAAATAGTCTCATGGAAGGAATCTCTGCTATTGACCCATAAAACCGACTCTTGCAAGGGTACTACATATAAAAAGGTCAATGAAAAACATAGTCCATAGCCCAAAAGCATATAAATATTTGGCCCTGTGACATGTTTGATTAAGACAGACCAATGTTGTTCTTGTATTATCAGGCATATTGAAGCAATTAAACATGGATTCATACAAAGTTAACAGTGCAGAGGTTCTTTACATTTGCAGTTACCTGCTTGCAGCTTTTTTGTAAACATTCTGTAAACATAAACGCTCTCCTCACTACCAGAAGACACCACGGTAAAAGAAAAGGCTAAATCAAATAGTGGGGCAGTTAAGAACAGCAGTGTAAGTGTAGTTATTGTTACCGAACTCAAAGAAATGGAGTTTAATACTGTACAGAAGAAATGACAAATGTGGATGGTACACATATACAGGTTTGTTTTAAGCTCAGATGAGTTGTTTCTGCCACGACCTTTTGATTTCAAATGGAGATGCAATTCATTTTGGGTGATTTTCTTAAAATTGATCTTGTTCAGGTTATATTTCATCACAAAAAACGAAGGAATAAATAAACATGATATTCTATTTTGCATGAGGTTTAGGACCACGTTTGGTATTTGTTCAGGATTTTTTGCATTTTCATAATTTTTCATAATTATTATTTACTGTAAGATGAATAAAACGCATATTTACTAGTGCTGTTAAATGATTAATCGTGATTAATCGCATCTAAAATAAACGTTTTTCTTTACATAATGTATGTATGTGTACTGTGTATATTTATTATGTATATATAGATACACACACATGCATGTATATATTTCAGAAAAATACGTTGTTTATATATTAAATATATTTATAATATAAATTATATGAATATATAGACATGTAAATACATGTAAATATTTTCAAAATATATACATGCATGTGTGTGTATTTATATATAAATAATAAATATACACAACACAGACATATTATGCAAACAAAAACTTTTATTTTGGATGCGATTAATCGCGATTAATCGTTTGACAGCACTAATATTTACATTTATTAAAAGTATTTATATTATCATTACTGTTTCACTATAATTTGGAATAAGATTTTTCACATTAAAGTAGTTTTTCTGAATTGGAAAAAAATTATAATCCTGAAAACAGGATTTATTTTCTTCATGCTAAATGTAACTTCTTGAGTAAAATATAACCCGGACATGCATTTGTGTTTTTGTTTTTGCCATTTAGGCTTCATTTGTTTTAGGTCCCTTTAAAAGAAGAAGTGCTTTGTTCTAAACAAAAATAGAAATAAAAAGACAAGTGACGTTTGTTTCAGAAGGGGACGCTGCCAGCAGCCTATTAACTTACATTTGGACAAACATTCTATCAAGTACCACTTGTTGTTGAATCCAAAAACATACACAATATTCTTCAAAGACGCCAACTACAAAGTGTAAAGAAAATTGCATTATTGCAAATATAATTTTCAAAATTGGTAACATATTTGCAGGAGTTCTCTTGTCAGTGATAATTTCATCCCAACTCATTATGGATTGCTGACCAATAAATAAATTCTAGAAATGGAGATGATAAACTTTTCTGGTAAACATCCATTGTGTAATTTAGGCTACTCAATTTGATTGTCCGTTCAGTAAAATGTCTTGCAGCCCAAAGATTCTGTTGTCTAACATGCCAGTAAAAGTACTTGATTATATTGTACCTCAAGAACATTAGCACACAGCAAAGAGACATTTCTGAGTTTGATTGTTGTAGTACAGTTTGCATAGTGTTTAACTAACCTACAAAGTGCAGTTAACCATCCAGTTATAGAACAGAAGGCTGATGATCGTATTGGTTTCATATCTGCACAAGAGATGGAAACTGGCCGTTTTATTATTGCAAGTGCATGCGAGAGATTTGATCATGTCTGTATCTGAAGATGCAAAGGTTTAGGCCACTGCTGCACTGCTTGGTCGTTCTTGTAGTCACCGAAAAACATTAAATAAAAAAAAAAATCTAAAATAAATTAACTAGATAAACATCGGATACCAAAATCAAACAAGTGGAGAGTGCAGCACGTCAACTCTCGTAACATATCTTTGTACATTTATTGATCGTTTTTGTTATAGATGTTACTCGCTCAGATGTACTCAGTCTAAAACATTTCTGGATGTCTTAATATGTAACGTTTCTGACTGAGAATTTATTCTGAGAAAAATAAGAAAAATCCACAAACGTTTAATTGTGGATATAGTCTTACAATGAAATGTCCTTCCTTCATTGCTTACGTATCATTGGATTTTCTTTTTGGTTGCTTTACAATAACAATAATAATAACAAAGCATTTAAATTACAAAACGAGTAAATATTTCATTAAGTTATTAATAGATGTCCCAAAAATCAAACGTCTTAAATTTTGTCCCTCTAAACACATCGCATAATTTAAAGTTTATATGGCTTATATTGCTTCTCGAATCAGTACTGTTTGCTACCATTTCATACATAAATTAAAATAATCAGAGGGAATTAGCCAGTACTGTTTCAAATAGCTGACTTCTAGCACGCATAAATAAAAAAACAAAAAACAATTGCTTTCAGTGTTAAGAAATGCTAAATTATACCAAGTTAGTATAAAAATATTCTGCGCCAATAGTGTGGATGCATTCCTATTGCAATGAACGTTTACTCAAGGACAGAAAAAGGGATAGTTCATCCAAAAATAAACGTTCTGGCATCGTTTACTCTTAAATATAGGTCTGTTCTTTGCACAAAGCTATTGAATGAGCTCACAAGTCACTTTGTTGGTGCTTTAAAAAGCCCCAAACACCAGGCATGACAGTGACAGTACACTTTTGTTGTATCTAAATGTGCAGCATCAGCATTGTGCTAAACATCTCCTTTTGTGTTCTGCAGAAGAAAGAAAGTCCTACGGGTTTGGAACGACATGAAGGTGAATGTATTTTCATTTTTGGCTGAACTATTCCTTTAAATTCAGTGACTTGCATTATAGGTTATATCACTGATGAAGTGGAATGTCAGATGAATTAGACTAAAGGTGCGTTCACATTTACCGTTGCTCTACAAAATTTCGCTTAAATATTGCTAATATGATCGCATCTTAATGCCGTATATCATTCCCTGTAAGGGTCATCTGTTTTATAGAAAAAAACCTCAGTGTAGTCATAAAAATACACTGCAACCATTCAATATTGTACCAATGAGTACCAGTGAGTTTGTGCTTCTAATCCGATGATTCTTTCAAGCAATTATCTCTCGCTCTTGGTCTTTAAGGCTAACAGTGCTGCATTGAGGTCTCGTTCGACCAGACTGTCTCAATATGGTCTCCAAACGGACTCGTCCATCCTGCCGCTGGAGTTGAGAACAGTTGGCGAGCTGCTGTGGCTGCCGTCCGCCTCGCCTCCATCTGCCTGATTGGGCAGGTTGGGGTTGATGAGGGTGCTGCCGGTGGATGCGCTAGTGCAAGGCGGCAGCATCCTGGAGGGGGATCGATCTCCGCCCGGCACCATTGAGAACTGGTACGACCCGGACGAGGCGCCGTAGTAGAGGTACGGCGTGCTGCTGGTCTGGAAGGGCCCACTTTGGTTCTGGGTGGAGCCGGGGTACGGCGGAGGCAGGTAGGTGTGGTAGTGGGTGGTGCCCAGAGACATGCCCGAGGTGACCGGTGTAGGGGTGTATGTGAAGGTCGCGGGATAGTGCATTCTGGGACTGGGAAAACGGGAATCTGTGAGGGAGGACAAACCGGGAAACTGACGTTCAAACTGCCGCGGATCGGCCGAGAACGGACTGAGATCCGACGTACCTGGTGGAGAGAAAAAAGAACAGCTTTTTTAGTGATATTTAAATCAAGAAAAAGTTTTGAGCATGTCTTCTTTCAGTGCGGTTCAAAAGTCTGGGTGCACTATAGTGAAAATGCTTTTTTGTGCATTTTTTAAAATTGCTATATACTTTTCAGTACAATTTCTGTTATATCATTTATTTATTTATAATAATAATTTAATAATTTTTTATAATTTATTTTATTTATTTACATACTGGTAAAAAATGTATAGCCTGAATGCACTCTAAGTCGCTTTGGATAAAAGCGTCTGCTAAATGCATAAATTATTATTCATTATTATTATTATTTATATAATCAGCATTTATATGGTACGAAAACAATCAGGAACAGTACAACATAATGTTAATTTTACTCATTGTTTTTGTATAAGATAAATGCTCTGATTATATAAATCAATGATATAATCTGATGTTTATAGATTTGTAAAGATACATTTTCCATTAAAGGTTTCATTGTGTTAATGCACAATTGTGCATTTTAACTTTATTTTACTTATCTATCATGTTGGAAAAAGTGCAGAATCTGACATTTTCATTTTACATTCTACATTTTCTTTGTATCTATTTTTGAAGCCTAAAAAAAGTTACATAATATACTTTTGGGCCCCATTGCATATAACATTCAGTTTTAAAATGGATTCATTAGTTTATTTCAGTCTATGTGGGTTATTTATACTATCATATTTTTTGTAGTTAAATATTTAGTTTTGCAAAATGCTGCTGGGTCACTTTAACTCTTTTCAACTCAGTTGTATTTATTTATTAGCTCGCCTGTGACACCCTACATTGTTTTTGAACTAGATGCATGCTCTCAAGATAAATATAATGACATCCACATCAATTGAGACTGAAATGAATAAAGGAACATTGTTAAATCAGACAGAAGAGGGCGCTGTCAAACTTAATTTGCATACAGCTTAAACTAACTAGCCTGTCAACATAAAACTCCCCTTTATAAACTCAAAAGAAGCTTGTGAAGAATGAAGCGCATGCAACTTTATCTGCATTTCTCTTCCAAATAATGAATGTGAAAAATAATGGAAGTAAATATGAAGATGCTCTCCCAAACATTTTGATTAGAGTGAAAACAGTTTTGTCTTTGTTATTATACGAGTCAGTGTTTGAACGCCCAAGCCATGAACGCGTCAGAATGACACTTCAAAGTGCAAGAAAAAAGTTCATATTGTTGCTCATTGATCTCGTTTGTGACTCCACATGAACAGATTCTCTTTACAAGCTCAGTCTGAGGAATTTTAATCAAGGAAACTGCAATAAATATTAACTGACCGACAAGAGAAACTGGCTCATCTCACATGTCAGCGGTTTAATTACTCTAGCAAAACATAAACTTGAATTAAATGTTTATTTGCAACCTGAATTACACAATGCTTGGGTTGATTCAAGGTCAAGGTGAAGACTAATGCTGCAAAAATGTCACCGGGCCATAAAAGATCAATATGCAAACGAACTGTCAAAAGGCGCTGATGTGCTGCTGAAAGATTGTGAGTTTGGCTTCTGGCTGTTTGTTTCTTGAGCGGCGTTTGCTGAAGGTTGTCCGGGGGTTTGTATGCAAACGTTTCGTGTGCGTTCACGCTCACATGCGCAAACACACGCATCCTCGCATTTATATGAATATCAAAGAGAAATGTTGGAATAAACTGGGAGCGCACATGGAAACGCTTAGAGGAAAAAACAGTTTCCAAAGGATGCATAATGAGCAGTCTCAGATGTGGTGGCATGTCTGCGATTAGCCAAAGAGAAGGGCCGATCTTCTCTCTTAGAACCACAAGATGTTTTTAAATTATAAACCACTAATGGGCTGTGACTCCCAGAACCCCAGGAGAGAGAATCCCAGAGGAACGTCTTATCATCTCCACATCTGTCTATTTTTGCACTCTGCATTCATCATGATCTGCTTTTCAAATGGAGCCGCCTGCTAAATTAAAGGCTATAAACAAACAATCCCAAACTCCTCTCCTCTTTTCCTTTCCATTGCATTTCCCCTTTCTTTTCCTTTTCTTTCTTTCAAACAAACCCAAACTCTTTTCTCTTCCTTTCTATTTCCCCTTTCATGACCTTTCCCATTTCAGTTACCCATTTTATTTCCTTTAGTTCACAAAAAAGTAAAATCCTCTCTACTCGCTTTCTTTTCCCATTCCCACATTTCTTTACTTCATACAAACCCAAACTCTTTTCCTTTCCACTTCCCCTTTCCTGACCTTTCCTATTTTCTTTCCTTTGCTTCAAATCTAAACCTTTTACTTTTCATTTCTCTGATTTTAACTTACTATTTCCTCTTTCCTTTGCCATTACGCTACTTCAATGAAACCATTTTTTCCTCTTTCTGTTTCCGTTTTCCAGTCCAATTTTCCTTTTTCAGTTTCTTCAAACCAACCAAAATGATTCTCCTTTTCTTTCCAATTCCCATTTAACTAAAACACTTTTTCCCTTCCATTTCCCCTTTCCTAACCTTTCCCAGGTTATTTGACCATTTTCTTCCCTTTACTTCAAACAAACTGAAGTATTTTCCTTCCCGTTTCACTTTTTCTTACCATATAATTTCCCTTTTTCTTTACTTAAAACAAACCAGAATATTTTCCTGTGTATTTCCTATTTCCTTTCCAATTTCTATTTCCCCCTTTTCTTTTACTTCAAACAAGCTTTCCTTTCCTTTCCTTTTCTTTCCATTTCCTCTTTCCTGACTCTTCCCCACTTCAATTCCCCCTTTTCTTTCCTTTTACTTCAAACTAAAATCTTTTTCTGTCTGTTTTTCCATTCCTTTCCCTTTTCCAATCTTCATGTTTTTCTTTGAATTCAAATAAACCAAGTATCTTTTCCTTTCTGTTTCCCCTTTTCCTTGTCCATTTTTCCTTTTCTTTCCTTCACTTCAAACAAAGTCTCTGATCTAATCACGTCTCATCCTTCCTCTCACCCTGTTGCTGAGGTACAGTACGTTTTTTTATGTCTTTCCCGTAAGCTTGTCTGCTGGTTTAGGAGCGGTCGCGTGTTGTCCATGAGCGCCGCTTTATGAGTGACAGTTCGGCAAACTTTACAGAACATGTGTGGCCAATTATGAGCAGATTGTCTCTCCCCATTATCAACTCTTGACATTTCAAACCAAACAAAAAAGACACTTCAGGGAGACAGTGCAGAAGAGAGGAGACCCAAGTCACATTTCCAAAACAATGACAGAAATTCACATATACAACCTTCAATCACCATTAAACATCGCTCCTCACTGCAGACATTCACGAGAATGAACCCATTATGCTATCGGCTCTTGCCAGACCCTTTTTGGCTAAACTTAATATGACATCAATCACTTTGTATTACAGGGATGGTGTGGTCTAGTAGCTGAAGCTCAAGGCTAGAAACCAAGAGGATCATGATGGCTCAAGCTGTGACCTATCATCAGTGTGATCTTGCGACCTTTGACCTCGGGTTGCCTGCTACAAGACTGCCTGCTTACTTTAAGAGCACATTAAGAGGTACAGAAGCCACTAACAAAGATGTATCATGGTGTTTTGGGGTCAGTAAGATTTTTTCTTTTTTTTTAAATGAATACTTTTATTCACCGAGGATGCATTAAATTGTTCAAAAGTAACAGTAAAGACATTTATAGTGTTAAAAAAGATTTATATTTTTCTAGTTATTTTAAATTGTAATATTTCACAGTATTACTGTGTTTTACTGTATTTTTGATCAAATAAATGAAGCCTTGATGAGCAGAAGAGACTTCAAAATCATGGTACTGCTAAAGTACTTTTTTGTATTCGGTACCTTGGTATATATCAAAATACCATGGACATACAACATGGTATTTTTTAAATGCCATAACACATTATGGTATATATCAGAGTACCATGTTTTGTGGATATGTACCATGGTATTCTCTGAAGATCCTTAGATGAAGATCCATTTACTCATTTGGAAGATGTCTTTATCCAAAGCCACTTTTTATCAAGGTATACATTTGATTTGTATATGCATTCTGTGTTATTGCATATATCAAAGTACTGAGATATTCAGACTTGATACCATCATTGAGTCCACCAAACATGCTTTTAAACCAGCCTCCTTAAACAGACTTCCACAAAAGGAAAAATCAAAGTTCTATACGGTCCTCCAGTATCCCGCTCTGATAATTCATCGCTCTCTGTGTAATATTATGCATGCCTTCATCTGCGTCGTTATCAGTCACCAGGTCTCTGGCTGAAAGGTGTAACACGAGCCCACGGTGGAGAAGAACAGCCACGCAAGCAGCTGCAGAGGGTGCGATGTGTTCTGGACGTGTCTTCTCGAGACCGAGCCATTCAGCGGCGCTCCGAGGAAGAATAAGGGGCGTTAGGACCAAGAGGTGCGTGTGTCTCTTTGAGGAAAGAACAAAGGCTGACATCTCCAAGATGAAAGCCGGGTGAAATCTAAACTAATCAAACCCAACGAGGCAGCTGGCCGGGGTTCAAAAAGCAGCCACACCAAGAAGCCATTTAAACTTTCACATTCGCTCCAGGCTCAAAGAAAACAGTTAGGGTGGGGAGCCAAAAAAAAAGTTCAAAAACCAACCTGGCGGAGAGTCAAACAGGTGTATTAAAGAAAACGTCCACGCTGTGTGTTTGTTTCAAAACGAACCCCAAAGGGCGGGTGGACCGCAATCTGGTGCCTATTTCATTAATAAAGGCACAGTCACAGCAAGCTCTTCCTAGGGTTTGGACTCGAGAGCTTTTGGATAGTTGACGAGAATTGCTTTTTAAAACCCCATCTAAAACTATTTTAAACAACATTCTCTTGTAATTATTGTTCATGCAACCGTTATGAACGCATGTGAATTTAAATGCTATGTGGAATATTTGTATGTTTTAAAAATGCATTTGTCATTTAAAATGAACTAGTATGGATGAAAAAAAAAAAAATATGCATGAAATATATAATTTATTGTGCATGCAATGTGTGTATATACTGTATATTAAAATTGTGCATGCAACTATTTATTTATTTTATCTCTTTAATATTTTATTTTATTTATACTACTTTTTCATTTGTTTTCACTCGATAGCTTTAAATATAAATATAAAAAATGCAATATTTGTGCATTTTAAAAATGCATGTGTATATATATATATATATATATATTATAAAAATTATTTTAAATATATTATTTTATTTTATTAACTTTTAGGACAAAAAATACAAATAAAGTAGTATAAATAAAATAAAATTATATAAATATTTAAAATATATTTTTATAAAATGTATTATTTGATATAAATGCTCAATATATATATTTGCAATATTTTAGAAATGTATTTGTTACAATGCATGATCATTTAAAATAAAAACGAAAATACAGTTGTATAATTAAAAGAACATTAAAGAGATAAATAGAGAAATAGTGATCAGTTACAGAAGTTATGACATAACTTTCCCTGCATTCAAATAAATTCTATTATAAAATCCAATAGACGTGTTATGTACCAACTACCCGTTTACCTTTTGAGGTCCGTGAGGCAGAAACTCTAGTCTGTTTTATTGTTCCTTTTCAAGGCATTTCAAAAGAGAGCTGAGTTCAAAGACTCCATCGGAGAGGACGGGGATTAGGGGAGATATTCTTTCAAATGCTCTCTATTTTTAAAGGTGCTAGTGCTTGGAAGCCATTTGCCCACGGGCGACGTAAACGCTTACAAAGCAGAAAGTTAACGCTGGAAAAATGCTTTGATTCGACTTCAGCGAATGAGTGTTTGGACAAATGTTCATGGCTAACACGATCAGCTAAGAAAGTAAATACAGGCACATTGAGACACTCCATTTCCCACATTTCTGAAATGAGTGGTTGGCAGAGAAAGCGATATGAGCCAGAGGAGAATTGAATTGCTCAGAGGTTGCTCTTTTATAGCTCAGTTGTGATTTCATGTGGAGTCAACAAGTGAAAAACTCACTTTACTTCTGTAATCCCACATCATGAAACAGGATGTTCAATGCATAAAAATTTGGCGGGGCTTGATTTGATTTATCTTTAATTGATTGGGTAATAAAAATGAGTCTATATGACAGATGGTTGCTAAAACAGCCTGAAAAATGTTGATTTCAACTTGAATTTAGATATCAATTTTGACTCAAAAAACTAAAACTAAACTTTAGGAAATAATATAGGACAATTATATAAAAATATATAGGAAAATTAAAAATAAAATACTTGGAAAAAAAGAAAAAGACAACATGTTTTTGAAAGAGGTCTCTTGTGCTCACCAAGACTGTATTTATTTGATTAAAAAAAAAACAGTAAAAAGTTTGGGGTAAGATAAAAAAAAAAAAAAAACATTTCTATTTCAAATAAATGTTGTTATTGATCACATAATCATTAACAAAATATAATAAGCTGTTTTCAGCATTGGTAATAATAAGAACCATTTTTAAATAATTGAGTTGTAATAATAAGTGAGCAGCAAATCAGCATATTAGAATGATTTCTGAAGAATCATGTGACACTGAAGACTGGAGTAATGATGCTGAAAATTCAGCTGCGCATCACATGAATAAATTACATTTGTAAATATTTAAAAATGGAAAAGTTATTTTAAATTATAATAATATATCACAATTTTACTGTATTTATTGTAAGTTTAATCAAATAAATGCACCCTTGGTAAGAAGAACCCTCTTTTAAAAACATTTAAAAAATCATTTTTATTCCAAACTTTTGGCCAGTAGTGCGTAAAATGAAGGTGGATTTGATCTTGGGAGAACTTGTTGAGAATTTAAGTATCAAATCTGAGCACAGTTTGAGACATTGTCTTAGTCTCATTGCTGAAGCATTTGAGATAATAGAGCTCTTGTCTGTGATTGGACTTTCTATAAGGTGTTAGTTTACCTGAGAGGCGTCTTGGCACGTCGCTGATGGTGGGCAGGCCCGTGGCGCGGGTGGAGGACAGCGGGGTGGTGGAGTGGATGGAGGGAGACGTCATTTGGCTCAGGTAAGGAGTGTAGGGCTGCTCGTAGGACCAGGGCGGAGAGGACTGCGCCTGCCGCGGATCTGTGAGCATGATAAATGAGATGACTCCAGTCAACATCTGCACGACAGAATCCTCAAAGATGTGTTTGGGTGTGATTGTAGCCTCTTCTCTCAGGACCACAGCAGTGCTTTTATAGCTCAGTGATGTTTACAACAGTGACCTCAAAAATGAACGGTATCACACACCACCACAAAAAAAGAGCCAATCTTGTGAAAGCTGTCAGGGACATGTTGGGTTATCTCTCACTCTAAAAGTGAAAGAAAAAAAATTATGTTTTGCAGACTTTTTTTTGTTTTGTTTTGCAAATTAAAAGAAATTGAATTCTATTTTTATAACCATTAAGATGTTTTGCGTTGTTATGATATCTTTGACATATATATATATATATATATATATATATATATACAATTGAAATTAAAGTAAATTAAAATAAATAAATAGGATGCATTATAGGGAGAGGGTGTGTTGTGTTTAATTGGCATGAAAATAATGATGCAAAAGAAAAAAGTTATGTTTTGCATATATTAAAAGAAAATTAATTCTATTTTTAAGGCCATTAAGATGTTTTGCATTATATCTTTTATATATATATATACACACACACAATTGAAATTAAATTAAAGTAAATAAAATAAATAAATAAATAAATAGGATGCATTACAGGGAGAGGGTTTGTTGTGTTTAATTGTCATGAAAATAATGTGACAATGCAAAAAATTGCAGGGGTCCTGAAATAGACTAGTCTTTATGCACAACATACTTTTTATATATATATAAAAAATTATGTTTTTGAGATTCACCCTCAGAAGAGTCTTTCCTGGTGAGCCATATTTAAAGACTCGTTGTGCACACAAAGTGGGTGACCTTTCTTTTTATAACAATATGGAGACCAAGACAGAGCAGACTAGTATAAAAGGCTGTGGTATGTAAATAGCTTAATCACATTCAGAGCCAAGAACGGTTTCCTGTTTGCTTTCTACAGTATTCTAGTAAACACAGCGTCCGCTCTGACAGGAGAGGGGCTGGAGATGCTCCAAGAGAATGGCAAACATTATGCAAACTTTAAAGCTGAGCACATATGAGACAAAAAAAACAAAAAAAAGCCCACGCTCCAATATGCCAAAAGTGAAGCAGGAACTAATGAAAATATTTGGACAAATGTACTGGAATTAAAGCAGTAGTTCACCCAGAAATGAAAATCTGTCATTATTTACTCACTCTCATGTCGTTCCAAACCCGTAAGCTGTTATTTTTTCCGTGGAACAAAAAAGGAGGAATCTTCATCAGTCTTCGCCAGAACCTGGTCTGCACCATTTTGAATGAGATTTGACGATATTTGGGTCTGTTCCTCACTATCATATGATTTCTAAAGACTTGAATGTAGTGAATGGACTGATGCTTTTCTGTCCTTCACAGACGTGGTTTGAAGATGAAGAGAAGCACAAAGATTCATCAGAACATCTTTTGTGTTCCATTAAATAAAGAAACTCAGGTATGGATTGAAATGAGGGTGAGTAAACAATGAGTTTTCATTTTTGGGTGAACTATCCCTTTAAGGTGATGTAAGCAGCCAGTCCCAAACAAAGATAAAGCCTCAAAAGCAGACAAAAGGATTTGCGACTGTCAGATTTGGCACGTCCATCATTATCTCCTGTTTAAATCTGATCGACGTTGTCGAATTTACCATTTCTATTTCTTGCATCATTCTCGCCCACTGGCTTTTATCTTCGCAGGTTTATCTTCAAATCAGGCCTCTTAAATAAACCTACCTGTTCTCCAAACACTGATGTTTGTACAGTACATAAACCACAGCCATTCTCCATTAAAGGTCATGCCAGACAGGCTGAAATAGTTGCGTTGAAGGGCCGGTTTACCTGAGATCTGAGTTTGCCCCTGCGGATTGAAGGAGTTCGGCATGGCGTTGAGAGACGGCCGGGGACTCTGGGTTTGCACGGCAACTCTCATGCTGGTCTGGCGGAAACGCTCTAACTCGCTCAGGCGCTCGGAGAACAGCGGCGGTTTAGGGGGGTCTTCCAGTTTCTGTCTGTGTCCTACCGAACAATATTAGACAGAAATTGCAGTTAATACACCTACTGCTCGATTCTGACCAACTTTAAAGGGATCGTTCACTCAAAAATGAACATTCTGGCATCATTTACACACCCTCATGTTGTTGCAAACCTGTATGTTTGATCTTTCTTCTGAGAAACTCAAAAAGAGATATTATACAAAATGTTCAAGCTGCTCTTTCTATACAATGCAAGTGAATGGGAAAGAAAAAAAACTGTAAAAGTGATCCATTCTCTGTTTTACAAAGTCATATGCTTGTTTTGTGTGATGAATAGATGCAAATGAGCCATATAGATTAATAACACCTTAAATTTTGGACACAGATCTATTGCATGGTCGCAGAACGCTTGCAAATAAAGCACAAAAGCCATGTGGACAATTTTCATGGCACTTTTATGGTGTTTTTGTCATTTTTGGTCTGTTTACTTTTATTGTATGGAAAACATCAGTTTGTAGATTCCCAATTTTTTTTTTAAATGACATTAGCGTGAATAAATTATGACAGAACTCATTTTTTTGGGCAAATTGTACTCCTTTATAGGGATAGTTGGCCAAATAATGAACATTTTGGCATCATTTACACACCCTTGTGTTGTTTTTTTGCTTTCTTCTGGGGAACTCAAAAATACAGTAAATGTTATGCAAAATGTTCAAGCTGCTCTTTCTATACAATGAAAAGCACTGTAAAAGTGATCCATAATCTGTTTTATGAAGTCATATGATTGTTTTGTGTGACGAATAGATGCAAATGAGCAGATTAATAACAACTTATATTTTGGACACAGATCTATTGCATGGTCTCAGAACGCTTGCAAATAAAGCACAAAAGTCATGTGGACAATTTTCATGGTACTTTCTTGTCACTTTTGGTCAGTGTTTACTATCACTGTATGGAAAAGATTAGTTTCTAGATTCACAAAATTTCTTTAAATGACATTAGAGTGAATAAGTTATGACAGAACTGTCATTTTTGGGCATATTTCACTCTTTGAGGTGTTATGCAAAATGTTCTAGCTGCTCTTTCTATACAAAGAAAGTGAATGGGAAAGTAGCACTAAACAACACTGTAAAACAATCAAAAAGCAACTTAAATTTCAGGCACAAATCTACAACATGGTTTCAGATCACTTGCAATAAAGCACAAAAGTCATATGGAGCATTTTCATGGTACTTTTATGGCGTTTTTGTGACTGTACAGAAAAGATCAGTTTGTGGATTTCCCAAAATATCCTAAGATGACATTAGGGTGAATCACATACGACAGAAGTGTCATTTATGGGTGAATTTACTCTCCTTGTTGTTTCACACCTGTTTGATTTTTTCTTTTTCTGGGTAATACAAAAAATGTTCATGCTGCTCTTTTTAATTCATTCAAAGTGATACGATGAACGGTGCCAAGCTCCAAAAAAGACATTTTTTTTCTATACTTATTCTTCTTTTATCAAGTCTTTTGAAGTCATATGACAGCTTTGTGTGATGAAGAGATGTCAGTGAGGTTTCAGAGCTCAAATAACAACTGAAATTTGAACACAAAGCAATCGTATGGCTCCATAACAAGTCATATCGACTGTTTTCATGGCACTTTCATGGTGTTTTTGTTACTTTCAGTCAGCTCCACTGCATGGAAAAGATCAGTTTGTAGATTCCCCAAAATATTCTACAATCACATTAGAATGAAAAAAAGATGACAGAAGTGTCATTTTTTTGGGTGAACTACACTCTTAAAGGGACAGTTCAGCAAATAATGAACATTCAGGCATCATCTACACACCCTCACCTTGGTTGAAACCTGATAGTTTTGTGAGAGAAACAGACCACAATTAATTAAAATAGTCATTACTCATTGAAGTGCAATGAGATTTGAGCTCTACAGCTGAAGGCAAGATTAAAATTACAGTCTGTTCCACCCAAACAGCTATTGTATGTCTTCAGGAGACATGAAATATAGCACACAGGTTGTATAAAATACTTTTATGATCCCATTATCATAAATATTACGGTACATCCACAGAAAACATGTTTCAAACAACACGATGACCGAAGTTTCATATTTGGGTGAACTGTACCTTAATGGCCAACCAAACAATTAAACCTCGTTATTTACCCAACAGCACAGCAAAACAAATGAGCAGATCAGTATGTGGGTCAGATGCATCAGCGATCTCTGGGTCTCTGATCGCAGAGATCTCAGTTTTCACAATAGCGACTGGCGCACAAAAGGAGGGGAAGTAAATCGACTTTCTACCTGCCCGTACATGCCGGTGTTTTACACCGTGGTGTGGATCCAAAAGAATTCACAGTCAAATAACACAACTGCTGTATTTCCCTATTATTCCTATCATGCTTGAAACTATGTCTGTGAGTCACGACAAAAGCATGACCCGCCAATGTTTATTCATTCATTTCCCATAAAAGAGGACAGACTCAGTCCTCTATCCAGCAATAAAGAGTATGAGTCACGCCATGCCCCCACGTCCACCCCCTTCCCCATCACGTGAACCACCCTTTCCAGTCCATACGTAGCTCAACATCTCCACTAAAGAACCCGATTTCATTGGAACCGCACTGTTGTGTCAATACTCGAGAAGAATATGTGTTAAAGAGGGACTTAGTCTTTTTTTCCATGCTTGTCTGTATCGCCCCGGTCGGTTGCTCTGAATGGCTGTAAAGTAAATATCACACAGAAGAAAAGAGAAACTCCTGCAAAAGCTTGGCCGCTCTCCAGTCGGTTCGAGCCAGAGCTACCTCCAGTCTCGCAAAACCTGATTGTGCTCTGGAGTTCGCTTGAGCAAACACAGCTCCTCATTCACAGTTGAATGTCAAGCACTTTGCGTTGAGAGCGTGAGTAATTCCCTAATAGTGTTCCCTCTCGCTGTATGCTATTAAAGAAGCACAAAAAAAAGGGAACCGGTTTAATTTCATTTAAGATGAATACGGCCCCTGTGTGTGTGTGCATGAAGGTGAGCTGTTCACAAATGATCTGCCGCGTTACAAGTGACGCGAGACAGAATCTGCCGACATTTTCACTAGGGATGCACGATATTGAATTTTTGCTGATATCCGATATGCCGATATTTTTCAACTCGTTTTGGCCGATAGCCGATGCCAATTCCGATACCGATATATTTCCTTTTGTTTGGAAACAACACCAAGTCTCTCCTGTGTGGAAATTATAAGCAAATTATTTTACATTTTGGTTAGTTTTTAACAAGAACTTATTTGTTAGAATTAAATAAACAATAATTAAGTTATTTTATAATGACAGTACATTGAAGCTTTGAAAATAACTATAAATAAACTATATATCAATCACTGCATTTTTTTCAGAAAGATACAGTAGTAACCTTAACATTTTATTTTAAGATTTAACATTTGTAGATGGTCTAAAGCAAAAGAGTTGTAAAAATTCTGAAAATATTTTAGAGCTAATAATTTGTTTAAAAGATATGACATATATTACACATTAATGAATAAATCAATATAGGCTATATAAAATTATTTAATTTACAAGTGTCATGTTTGTGATTTTTTTATTTTTTTATGTAAGCTATAGCTTCTGACCTTTACTCTATCATACACTGAACGCCTCATTTTATAAGTGCATTCTCAGTTTAAATGCAGCGATCCAAAGCAGTGAATCCAATCATCATTCAGGCAAAACTTTGCTTCAAAAATGAGTCACACTGCTGACGTGATCTAATCGCTAGCACACCCTGAGCACATGTGAGTTAACATATTCCTCTTATCGGCAAGACATATCGGCATAATTGTTTATATCGGGCCGATGCCGATAGGTACATTTAAAGCCATTATCGGCCGATATCGGTCCGATAATATCATGCATCCCTAATTTTCACCAAATTTAACTAGTTGAATGATATAAATATGAAAGCTTGTTTCTGCCATAGGATAAAAAAACAACAACTTTTCATCTCACAATCTGACTTTTTTTCACAATTCTGAAAAAAAAAAGCCAGAATTGCAAGATACAAATTCAGAATTGCAAGGAAAAAAGTCAGAACTGTGAGATAAAAATTTGCAATTAGCTTTTTTTTTTTTGCCTTTTTTTTTTTTATTCTGTGCCAGAAACAAGTTTCCATATATAAAGTAACATTGCTGCAGCTATAGATATCAATGCGGATTACATAATGCAAACCGCTGACGTCAAAACATCAATACGTAATGTCAAGGTCTTTGTGAGTCTATAAACTCTTTAATGTATTGCTCTTTACTTGCTCAGGAGACATAAAGGAGATCATTAAAGTATCAGCAGATGTTTCCTTGGGAAAGCAGACAAATAGAGAAAACAGTTGTCAAACAATAAAAGTAAAGAGCTTTTTTTTTAAGAGAGATCATTTTTTAAATTTGATGAGAAATTAGATTTCAGAACATGTTTTGAGCACTGCTGGAGAGTATGGAGCTTTTATAGGAGAGATCATTTTTTTAAGTGTTCATAATGCGATTTCTGACTTTTGATAGCAGACTTTGGCAGTTCTGAAACATGTACAGAAATGTTTGGTAACCCTACTATTTATGTACAATTATGGCATTTAGCAGATGCTTTTATCCCGAGAGCCTTGGATATCACGTTTAACACTGTCATGTGTGTCTTATGAACATGTTCTGAGCACTGCTGGAGAGGACAGAAGCAAATGACTCTTGGATTTGAAGTCCAAGACTAAATTTCCAGAATGAAAAAAGGGGGATGCGAATGATTCAGCATGAACAAAAGGAAAATCCCTAATGCTCAGCCTATGAGACATGCAGAGTGCTCTTACGTTTACATCAGTGCCAAAAACATCTCTCAGTGCTAGAGCTGAAATACTCAAATGGACATGTCTGCAATAAAATAAAAAGATCCTGTTACGGCAAAAAAATTTGGATTATTAGTTTTAAGGCTGAGGAACAAAACTTTGGGTGGGGGGGGGGGATGAAAGAA